TTTTTTTTTTTTTTTTTTTTAATTTCTCGTAGTTTAATCCTCTTAGGCCTTTACCTCAAGTGGCTCGGCAGCACAACTATCTTTGCAAAAAAAAAAAAAAAAATAACAACAAAATAAAAAACTCGATGGTGTCATGTAAAAAAAAAAAAGGCAAACCACCTTTACAGGAGCAATCACAATGATTGTTTGGGGAGGGAAGTGTGCAAAAAAAAAAAAAAAAAATTTTACCCCACTGCATTGAGGAATCTCTCAGTGTTGCCATCAAGCATTCGAATGTGAACATATCCAAGTACATTTGAATGTACAGCCCTAGCTAGAAAAAAATCGAGGCGGGGGAGGATGTTTTGCACACTAATCCAATAATTTGAACATAATTTAGCCAACTGCTGCCTTTGTGTCTTTATTCACAGCTTTGGAGTTCTCAGCTCCAATAGTTCCCTTTCAAAAAGCAAAGAAACTAGCGGTATTATGTGCAGGCAGTAGTGATCCAAACTCTTCTTGCTCCCTGGTGAATCTACTAAAGCTGCTGTTTTACCTAGTCCAAAAGTTTCAATTATTTTTTATCTAGCAAGTCAGATACGTTGAAGCTTCACACGAGATCAGATGTCCCAAGTTTTATGGGATTAAATATAGTAAACACCAGAACTGAAACTTTAGAGCTAAGGTCTTTTTGGAAAAAAAAAAAAAAAAAAGAAAAATGCTAGTTTACTTGCTGCCTCTCACACCTTAATGTGATTTCATACGTATGTGTTTTTGAAGTTTAGCTTCCTTTTGTTTCTTTTTGTATTTATTAGAGTAATAATAATGCTTTAATTTAATTATTACAGAACATATGGTCAACATCAACTTTTATTTTTTAGAAATGTAACCATGTTTATTTTTAAAAAAAAAACAAACAAACTGACAACTTGTTTTGCTATCTTTTAGTGCAATAAGCGTTCTAAAGAAAAAAACTGTGTCCATTGAGCTGTACTAAAGCAGTGTTTGTACCACTAACTGTGGAAGAATGGACACCTCCATGATTTTAAAAGGACAAAGTAAAAGCCTTAATTTTGAAAGGAAAGTTTTATAGTCAGAAGGAATCTTGAATTTTCCTTTTTTAAATCAAAAAAAAAATAAAAATAGCAAAAACGCTTCTAGAATTCTGCAAGCTTTACTTGTCACTGCAGTATTTTGATTTAACAAAGGAATTGGCCGTATTTTTGGCTTGGAAATGTGGAGGATATTTGAATTAAATGGAAAGGGGTTTTTTATTAAGATCTGAGTTTTTACATGCTTAGTTAAATCTATTTGACATCAGTAAAATGTGTGGAATTAATAGAAGTTTTTAGGCTTTTTTCCTCTTTGATAATGACTTTCCTTTTAAAATTAAGTTATTGGTAACTTCATTTCACTTTGCAAATAAAGAGGGCTGGGATAGTTCTAACATGTTAAATCACTGAAATGTGAAACAAATTAATGGGACTCTTTTCATTCCACTTTAAAGGTAAAACAATATTTAAGATGTCAGAGACGAGCATTTATTCGACGAGGGGGACTGGGGAGTTTTGCACTTTGTAAACTCGTGAACTGCATTTTTGACTGTTTTTATTTGCACTGGTTCATAGTATATATACTGCAGATCGTTTGTACGGGCATTGCTGTTATCCCAGCCCTTCTGAACTCCACCTGCTCTCCACATGAAAACCAGTGGGTTGGTATAAGTAGCTTATCTCCTGTCGTTCTCATGAAATCCGCTGTTTGCCAATATACTGTATTTTGAGCCTAAAATCTGAGCCCGGTTTGCTTCAACAGGCATGAATCTCCCCCCATCTTTTCTGCCAGAAAACACAAGTACTGTATTTTGTGCATCTGTATATTGTATTGAAATGTATGTCGTGCTGTTCACAACACTGTCTCAAAGAGCTTTACTAAGCGGTTAGTGTATATACGTATTTTATCTCCGAATAGCAAGGAAGATAAATGTAAAAAGACTAACTTTGCAAAGTTAAAATTGCACTGGAAATAGTCGTGACGGTGGGTAGTTGGCTAGTGGCTTGGGGGTCCCCGGGGAGGAGGTGGGAGGGTGAGGAGGGCAGCCGAGCCGACCCTGATGTATCGGGGGGGTCTCGGGGAGCGCCCCCGAGCGAGGCGGGTTCCGAGTTGAGTCACTCCAAAGTTTCTCCGAGTCTGTGACCTGGCAGTTTTCTCGTAGAAGCGGTCTAGCTAGTCGTTCTGTTTATAAAAGGTTCAGGTTAGGCTTTTTACAGAAAATTGTTTTAAAATAGAGAATTTTTAAAAGGAAAAAAATTTTACAAAGACTTCTCGTGGATTTCTGGCGTTTAGGAGAAAAAACCCTTTTTAAAAAATCTTTTAACACTCCTTTCAAAGACACTCTACGGTTCTCATCCTGCCCACTCTCAGTGACTGATCTGAGAAGGTTTAAAAAAAAAAAAAAAAAAGTGACTTAAATGACTTGTGAAGCTAGCGTTTTACCTGGTTTTCATGTGAAGAGTATTTGGATGTTTTAATCTCTCTTCTTGGTTTTGCAAATATCTACGTAAAGTGCCGATACTTATTTGTATGACGATATCAAGTTACTGGCGTTGTGAGGGCCACACATTTATGATGCTGTAGCTGCTATATTTATTTAAATGGAGATGGACAATTACTGCACTAAGGAATGAGGAGATAAGCAAGGAATCAAGGTTAGTTAGATATCTTGGTTGGGTTTTTTTTTTGTTTTTTTTTTTTTTCAAAAGAGAATTAATGGTGTGAAATATCAAGTGTAACAAAGGGTGCTGTCATTTTAACTGAGATTAAATAGCCAGATATTCTTCCTTTGTTTAAAAACATATATATTTTGATGTTTGCAGTTTGGGGGTGGGGGGTCGGGATAAATGGTACCTCATCTGTGGTGGCAGTTTCCAGTATATTTTCAGAGTATATGGATTTCTTTTATTTTTGTACCTGCTCTCCTTTAAAAAGAAGAAAAAAAAAAAAATCTCAAAGTTTATGTGCTGTTTGGGGAAATCTTGAGTGGCATACCAGATCCCCCTCTCCCCGGGAGGTGTCTGTCTATAGTCCAAAGAGGGACGTGGGCAGAGGCTGGCGGTCCTGCTCGCTCCGCAGACGTACTGGCCTCGCTTTGCCGCCCACCTAGAAAACCAGTTCCAGTCCCCTAAGACACTGTACCAGTTGACTGCACCGAGACCTCACTTGTAATTAACAAGTGCCACTAATTGCTTCCGTGGTGGGAGCACGCACAAGGGCCCCGGCGCGGGCTGGGGAAGGAGCAGCCCCGGGGGCCCGGGCGGGCAGAGCCCGGGGCTGGCGGCGCTGCGCCTCCCGACCGAGCAGAAAGCCTTGCCGAAACCTGCGATCTGGCCACTAGTAGATCCAGACTTGGAGAGGAGTAGAGTGTTTTGTAGTTGAGGCGTTAAAACTTGCAACATCTGCTAACAGAATGACTGACTCCACTGTAAGTAGCTTGTTTGGTTTTTTTTCCCCCCCCTTTGTAGGGCACTTCAGCTGTGGCCATTTTACTCAGGATCGCTGTTTTACTGTTCAGTGTGGAATCTGGTTAAACGTGTCCAAAAGTTATTTTTTTAGGGTTCATTCTGGCATCCTTTTGGAAGTTTGTTTGGCCACAAAAATGGTTTTCAGGAGTAAAATGGGTTTCTGGAAGTTGTCAGTCGGATCAGTTCAAGATGCTATTGGTCCTAAACTATTTTCACTTCTTCGTGTATGAATTTTTGTCCTGTAAAATGCTCAACACGAGATACCAGATAGTCATTTTCTGTACAAATTCCCACTACGATTACTGGTTTTCTACTAGTCTTGAAGTCTGCTCTGGTGAAATTCCAAGCTCAGCCTACACTTAAAGCCTGAGGCCTTTTTTTTTTTTTTACACTTCATATCTTGTCCTCTTTGGATATTTTCCCCGTTTTGTGAACTCGTAAAAGTACTCAAAGCACTTTTATAACCAAGGAATCAAAAAGCTCGGAGTATGTACGTTGAAACTATAAAATCGGTTTTCAGAGATCTCTGTTTCTAAACGCCCATCTTAGTCTCTGCTCGCGCCAGACAGATGCTGTGTCCCTTTCAGTGCTGTGGAGTTTCGTGGCTGCTACCGCAGGTTGAATGGATCTAGTGAAAAAATCCGTAGGGATGTCAAAGGGAAAGATTCCTGTCTGTCTTTTCTACCCAAAGATGGTACTTTAGATCAATGCTG